GACCACTTCAGCTAATTGAAGTAGTCTGGGTGTTGTGACCCTTTTGCACTTAGTGCTGAAATGTAAAAACTGCAGTTCTAGAGAAACGGTTTACATTGCAGAACTAGGTCTGCCCTCGGTGGCTGTCTGATTTGTTTTCCTGGCACTATATGATCCCTTTAATTTTAGTAATGATTTCACGATTTCTGTTTCATTTTCAACCACACACCTCATACCACTAACATGAATCCAAATATAACCATACTGATATTCTTAATAACCCTTTTCTCAATCCAATTTGGTTCACACCACTACCAGCATAATCACACACCTCAAACTGGAACACAAATTATCATACACCATGGCCTGCTCTGTTCCTGTAACCTATCTGCTGAGTGCTGGTGGAGAGTTCTAAAAAATAGCCCTCCTACCCCCAAATGTGAGATTTACAAGGAGGGAAAACAGTACACCTCTCTGAACAGTGTCTGGGAGGCTGTGGTTGCTGCTGCACGCAATGTTGATGGTGAACAGATCAAAACACTGACAGAATCCATGGATGGCAGGCTTTTGAGTGTCCTTGCAAAGAAAGGTGGCTATATTGGTCACTGATTTGTTTTTGTTTTGTTTTTGAATGTCAGAAATGTATATTTGTGAATGTTGAGATGTTATATTGGTTTCACTGGTAATAATAAATAATTGAAATGGGTATATATTTGTTTTTTGTTAAGTTGCCTAATAATTATGCACAGTAATAGTCACCTGCACACACAGATATCCCCCTAACATAGCTAAAACTAAAAACAAACTAAAACTACTTCCAAAAATATTCAGCTTTGATATTAATGAGTTTTTTGGGTTCATTGAGAACATGGTTGTTGTTCAATAATAAAATTAATCCTCAAAAATACAACTTGCCTAATAATTCTGCACTCCCTGTATGGAAACCCCTGAGACAAGTTTCAATCAAACACAACACAAGCATGTTATTAAATTTGCTTGCACTGTGCAGAACAAATACAGGGCCCTTTTCTCATGCCCTGGAAGAGCACTGAACGAACATGCTCACTTTGACATGGGGCGTGCTTGTCATTGAGGATGACAAAACACACCCCATCTAGCCCCGCCCCCTTTTCAGTGAGCCGCTGTGAATAAAAAAAATGTCAAATTTTTTTCCAGTCCAGCCCTGGAATGATCTATTTTATTGATGCCTTTTAGAATGTTTTTTTTATTTATTTTTTTAATCGGATATGAGAATAACAAAGGGATGTGATTTGGCATGTTAGTCATTATGAAATGCTGTACTCCTGTTAAATACAGTTTGATTGAATTGTATGATAGTTTGAGGTGAAGATGGCAAAATATGTCAAAAGCTACCATGGTTTGAACCAAAAAGTCATGAGTGTTAAACTCCGCTGAGAACAGATTGAAAATGGTCATAGCTCTGCTATAGTTTTTTTGAGTATTGGTGGATAAGGCCGCTTGTGATAATGTTCTACTGTGGGCCAATAACTGGGTCAATCCAGGATTAAACTGTGGAATTCCAGGGTGTAGGGTGGATATCTGTTGGCAGTAGGAGGTAGTAGGAAGAATTCCTGAAATTTACGAGTCAAAGAGTCAGCGGCTGAATTTTTGCAACCTGGTATATGCTCACAAACAAGGAACAATTGACAAGTGGCTGCCAACCAAATCAACCTGCAAATCAATTTCATAATGGTCAGGGAGGACGACTGATCCCTATTGATTATTTCGCAAGCTGCCATGTTATCTGCATAACATTTAACGGCCATACCTGACCAAAGTTTTCCCCATGATAACGTACAAACTCTTTGCGAATGCAATGGAGTTTATCCTTGGGAAGAAAAGACTGCATTAAATTTGAATCTAATATGATCCCTAAAACAACCAAGTCTAGTGGTGGGTCCTATGGTCTTATCGGGAGAAAGTGAAACGCCCAGTGTGGAAAGTAGTGCTGTTGTGCTTATTAAGCTCAGTGGTGTGTTACTAATATCTTCCACAAAGCGAAAATCATCCAAATAATGTACCACCATGGGGCACCTGGTTACGTTGAGAAGAAGCCAGCATAAAGTCTCGGCAAACATTTAAAAAATTCTCGGGCTGCTTCTAACGCCAAACGCGAGTCTAGTAGCAAAATAATATTTTTCTCTCCACTTAATACCATGAATATGCCATAAAGAGGGATGAATAGGTAGCAACTTAAAAACGTTTTAAGATTGTCTCTATGGCATTGTCCACAGTGCGTAGTGTAGAGAAAAATCAGAGGACGTAATAAGTGAATTTTGACGTGGGGTGGCTGATGAATGAGGAGCTGATAAGTCTATGATCATACGTTTTTTTATTAGAGTATTTGCTAATCGCAATGCCGATGGGGTTAGTACGCCATGTTGAAAAAGGAGGGGAGGAAAATGGGCCTAGCATAAAACCTTGGTGAACTTCTTAGTCTATGAGGGTGTCTACCGTGAGAGGGTCATTAGTAGTTGAAAGCAGGTTGGGGCATTCTAGTGTGCCTGTGGTGAGTGCCACAATCCCGGTGTGAAATCCCTGTGAATTATGAATTCCACCAAGTGAGAAGGGTTTGTTTTCAAATAGTGTGCCAGGTTGTTAATATTAACTTCAGTTAGTCATTGTCTTGGGTTTAGTTTTGTAGGGCACATGGATCTGACATGTACCCTAAAGCAGATCGAACAAATGTGCAACAACCTGCAGGCGCTGAAACTACATGTACCTGCAGTAAAATTGTTGCAGATTGTTGACTTGCCCAGAAATACAACGAGCCGCTCAAGTTTGTCTTTCAAACCTCACTGGTCAGGCTTGCTAGAGAAACCTAGGTTGGCTGCATAAGTGGATTTGCTTTAGACAGGCACAAATTTGTGGAATGGGATGTGGACAAGCAGACTGCACAAGACAGGTGTTTCAAGCCTGCAAAATAGTTCCATATCTAACAGGCTCCAGTCTGTGCAGATATTAAATTGAGCCAGAGCTGTTGCGGCTTTGGCTGACAGACTTGTGGTAGTCATAAAACATGAAACCCCTGTATTTGTGTCCTAAATCCCCCAAATTGTGCATGTATAGGTCTACCTCTTCACTGCGCTGTGGTAAAACAGAACAGATAACATCCCTATAAAGGCCAAAGGCTAGGGCAAATTCAGGGATTTAAAAAAAAATAAATTTAAATTAAGACCACCGCTAAGACCACCGATTCATCACCACCGCTTAGTCACCATAATTATATGTTCTGTTTTCCACTCCGTCTTGGGAGGCGATAACACCATTTACATCTTTCCCATCTAGAATATGTTTACAGAAAGCAGGGGGGACAAGGTGTGCAGGGGGAATGATGTGAGTGGAGGAGGAGGTAGTGATGAAAAAAACAAAAAAAAACAAAAGAGGGGCACTACCCTGCGTGCTGGGAGGTGCAGGTGCCTGGATTGAAGTTATGGGAGGTGGGTTATTTGGAACCATGATGGAATTTTCCAATTTTGTAAGTCTCTCATTGATAGATTGTAGAGAGTTCCTTGAATGTTCGTAGAACTGTCCGAGCAGTACCCATGTGAGCCGGTACCCTGCCTAGAATATTCAGGATGTGCTGAGAGCAACCTGAAAAGTTCAGCCTTCCTTGCTGTGCAACTCAGCTGAGATCCTGGGGATCGTTCAAGACCTTAATGACCCTGGTATGGAAAGTTCTTGGAACTCTGTGGGTGTACCATGTCTGACAGGGGTGCTAGGCCTAGCGTGTGTGCCGGGGGGAGGAAAGGAGAGGGATGATTCTTCATGTAGATTGGTTTCCTTGGACATACTGGAAAGAAGATACAAGTACCAGTTAATAGCTAACACAATTCCCCACGTTTGTAGAACTGTCTGGCTAACTAGTGCCGAAGCGAAAAACTAACTACCCCGTGACAGGTGAGGCCCTGCGAGTTGCCAACTGGCAGAGGAGAGGCACTATGATTTCATCCACTGAACATTGTGGTTGGGTGTTGGCCTTTCAGTGACCGTAAAAGATTCAAAAACGTGTGGCCGTGACAGGTGATGCTCTAACTATAAACCCAAAAGGTGGGTGAATTTTACCCAGATTGGTTCAGGGGTTCGCAAAAACTATGGAAGTCTCTTGTGACCGGCTCACCCTGGGCTGTATGCCAAAACAGTTCCATGAATTTGGTGGGTTTTGCCGGTCACTTACGAAAAAGCAGAAAAACGAACAAAGTAACGAATGGATACCTCTGGCTCCTAGCAGCGTTTGTGTCCCTCTGTCGAATACACTAAAGTACCGAATAGCGCTCTTCTAGCTATTCAGTAAATAGAGTTCCAGCGTTCGTCTGTTTGGGACCGGTGTTCGGGAAGTCGAGTGTCCGTTTTCAGCTCCATGCACTCGATGACCAAGTCCCGCTGCCTTTGTTCGCATGAACAAAGATGGCCGCGGTTTTCTCTGCCACGTGGCGTTCGACTGATGAACGCTGGCCGCACAGACAGAGGTAGCAATTTCACCAAAACTTTGATGTTTAATGAGCCAGAGGGGTGGTCTTTGTTCGGTAGTTACATCTACCAAATGCCATTGGCAGAAATAGGGTAACAAAAAGGGAATGCAAGGAGTACATATAATATAACAAAAGGGGGTTTCTTCACAATTTATATTCAGCTGCAGTCCTGCCTGTTACATTGTGGTCCTGCACATATGATATCTGGGCTGTCAAAGTTAGAACATACTTTCACTGCTTCCTCCTTGTGAGTTGATTGGTCATTTATTTAATTTTCCTTTTTATCACAGATTTACACTAAATATTTTTTGTCTTTATGTTCTGATTTGCACTACGTTTGTAAGGGTATATATATATATTGATCCTTTGTCTCAAGTTCTATGAGTAAGTGCCCCTTTTTTATATTTTATCACTAAGTGTACATTGGTTAAGTGGCACATAATATATTTGAGATAATTATCTGTTTACACTTCATAGTGCATTTGGGACCGCACTTTCACAAAATGTGTTTGCACGTTATGTGTGTGTATGTATGTGTGTGTGTGTGTGTGTGTGTGTATATATATATATATATATGTGTGTGTGTATATATATATATATATATATACACACACACACACACACACACACACACACACACACACAAATAGTAAATAGAGTTTTAGGGGTGATTAAGGGATTTAGGGGTGATTATTTCTGATGACTTAAAGGTAGGCAGACAATGTAATAGAGCAGCAGGAAATGCTAGCAGAATGCTTGGTTGTATAGGGAGAGGTATTAGCAGTAGAAAGAGGGAAGTGCTCATGCCATTGTACAGAACACTGGTGAGACCTCACTTGGAGTATTGTACACAGTACTGGAGACCGTATCTTCAGAAGGATATTGATACCTTAGAGAGGGTTCAGAGAAGGGCTACTAAACTGGTTCATGGATTGCGGGATAAAACTTACCAGGAAAGGTTAAAGGATCTTAACATGTATAGCTTGGAGGAAAGACGAGACAGGGGGGATATGATAGAAACATTTAAATATATAAAGGGAATCAACACAGTAAAGGAGGAGACTATATTTAAAAGAAGAAAAACTACCACAACAAGAGGACATAGTCTTAAATTAGAGGGACAAAGGTTTAAAAATAATATCAGGAAGTATTACTTTACTGAGAGGGTAGTGGATGCATGGAATAGCCTTCCAGCTGAAGTGGTAGAGGTTAACACAGTAAAGGAGTTTAAGCATGCGTGGGATAGGCATAAGGCTATCCTAACTATAAGATAAGGCTAGGGACTAATGAAAGTATTTAGAAAATTGGGCAGACTAGATGGGCCGAATGGTTCTTATCTGCCGTCACATTCTATGTTTCTATGAGTTATACACACACACACACACATAGACATACAGATGAATGCATGAGGTATTATTTAAAAAGGCACAGCGCACTTTTTTTCTTATAAATGTAAAAATATATAGATTATATATACTAGAGATTCACCAGACAAGGTTATAATTTTTTAAATGCATAAGGATAGATAACTATTGCAAATCCAAATAACTAGTATCACCAAAAACAGAAGGAATGAACAAAGGAAATCTAAAACAAAAATTAATATAACATGATTATCCTAGACCAAGAGAAGGTGGACACAGTATCCATCCGTATGACGTAAGACTTCTGGATAATTGAGACATGGATGTATAATGGATTGATTGTGCAGTGCCGTGGCCCAACGATCAAGGCAAAATAAATCAAGCCCCTGTTCCATAGGACCCCTTTGGACATAATGTGGCTATAGTGAGGCCGAGCGTAGTAATTGGGATAATGAACCATGTATAAGTGATATGAAAATTGTAACAGCACCCCCAGGCATAAAAGGGTTAAACCGCCGTTTAGTAGATCTTCCCTTCCAGAGACACAGGCACAGCTACTGCAGAACACCAATCCGCCATACAGGAAACCATACGAATGCTGTAAACAGCCAAATAGGAAAAACCATACGAATAGGTTTACACTCCTAGCAGTCAAACTGGAACAGCATACAATAAATCCCCCCAAGAACGAGACAAGGCTCTGTGTTGAGGGTCAAGCAGGAACAGACAGAGCCGTGGGTTTATTGTTCTTATGTACACATTCTTACACATTAGTACCACCCACAGGGTTTTGGAACACAACCAATAAACATGTACAATACACTCAGACACTCCCACACAAAATCCTTCCCTCTGCCTGTGATACAATTACCTTACACAATGGGTAATGTAATTATCACAAGCAGAGAAATACAATTTTTCCACATTATTCATAACTTGAAAAGTATGCATCACATTCACATAACTTACATTTTCAGAATCAGCATACTCCAAATACAAACATATGTCAAAATCATCCAAATTGGTCCAGTGGTTCAAAAGATAGATCGTAGTCCTTTGTGACCAAAGGAAGCATGGCTTTTCTGCCCAAAACCAGTTCCACAGAGTCTTCTATCCTGGAGATAATTGGAAGTAATCCAATTATCTCCAAAGACAGAGGCAAAACTCCATTGAACACATGGCAGCAAAAGACAATAAAACACATAAAATACACAAGGTTACATTGTGACATAAAATACAGTACATTCAACATATCCCCAGATAGCTCAGATCTGAGCGCACATTATTACTGAATGGCGCTCAGAGCACACACATACAGTTCAATTGCCATGGAGCCAAAGTCTTTCCCATAGTCTTTCATTATACGAATGGGCTCCATGGCATAGCTATCTGGGGAATCACTGCTCAAACAGGGCCAGCATTGAATGACCCGGCTTTCATGTCTTTGCAGGTGAAAATCAAGCATTTTAACATGGGGCCATAATCCAAAGGCAACAGGCGAGCAACCAGGCTTCTCCAATGCACAGTGGCAAGATTGGTCTCGTCACAAAAATAATGAACCCAACAAAATACTTTGCAAACATACAGGAGATAAATAACAGACAAGAATTATAATACCTGGAATTAGTGGAGGAGACATGGAAAATATTAATATGATTATATAACCTTTAAAGTGTTCTGTATGGACCTACAGTAGGTCAGCAGATTTATAAAATTACCTAATTCCTGCTATTTTGTTCAACCATTAAAGCGTGATATAGACATTTATTGTCCTAACTTGGATGACATTTCATGAATGACACGCAGCTATATACATTTAATAACAACCAAATGTTTATGAAACCAACATACTGAACAGAGAAGGGTATGTAACAAAAAAAGGGGGATGGGAGATTGCTAAACAATTTCAATTTATAACTGCAAGAGGGCAATTTCTCAAACAAGTCCCCTTTCGTATTTAAACCTTATTTTGTGCAAGAACAACCGAATGCTTAGAGTACTACCAAACTGACAAATACAAGGTAAATTGGAGAATGCTTAATACATTACATGAGGGATTTTATACGAAACAAATTTTACACACAAATTGACACAAAAGGTTTGTTTAAACAAATTGACACAAATGTAAGGCATGAAAGGCATTTACACGAAAGGTTTTATGCACAAATTTAAATGAAATATATATTGCATTAGAACACAAAACATACACACAAATACAGGGAGCCTACTCCTGTGAAAAGGCCCGAACAGCATGAATAGCGCGAACATGACCTGAAAGTGTTCAGAAGAATTTGCTGGGTAGCAATCTTTATTTTCGGTGTATTTTGTTGGAAAAGTCCTGCAAACGGGACTGCGAAGAGACCTGAATGAGCTGAATTTGGTGCGAGATTTCGAACGAAGGCTAGAACCAGAAGTGCAGGTATCCAGGAGACAAATTAACTGAACCGCAAGTCAAAAGGTAAGCAGGGGCTGTGAGTTTTAATAGGAATGCTAAACTCCTACAAATACAGGCCTTTTGCCTTTAACCCCTTAGAGACCGAGGACGGTTCAGGACCGTCATCGGCATTTTAGCATTGCCGACCGCTGACGGTCCTGAACTGTCACAACAGTATTATGTACTTACCCGATCGCAGTTGTTCCCCAGGTGTGGGGAGACTGCCTGCAGCCCAGGCAGTCTCCCCATGACGAACTAGGACCCCGCGGCCATGTGATCGCTCACCAGAGCGGTCACAATAGGTGTCCTAGAGTCTGCCTGCAGGGGGACTGCCTGTGCTGACAGGCAGTCTCCCTACATGTGTAAAATAAAAATAAAGGTTAATGTTTATAAAATAATAGAATTATATATGTGTGTGTATTTATATGATATATATATATATATATAATGTCATACTAAGTATTTTATATTAATATATACATCTATTAATATAATACACTTATAATTAAATTACACACGCATATATATATATATATATATATAATAACTGTATATATAAAATACAAATAAGTAAATTAAAATAAAAAAATTAAAAATAATTAAAAAAATTATATATCTATATGAAATTTTATTCTAACTGTATTTTGATATTAATATATATATATTTATATCAAAATACACTTAGAATGAAATTGTATGTATATATACACGAGATATACATATGTCCATATACAAGATTACATAATTCTACAGGGAGTGCAGAATTATTAGGCAAGTTGTATTTTTGAGGATTAATTTTATTATTGAACAACAACCATGTTCTCAATGAACCCAAAAAACTCATTAATATCAAAGCTGAATATTTTTGGAAGTAGTTTTTAGTTTGTTTTTAGTTATAGCTATGTTAGGGGGATATCTGTGTGTGCAGGTGACTATTACTGTGCATAATTATTAGGCAACTTAACAAAAAACAAATATATACCCATTTCAATTATTTATTATTACCAGTGAAACCAATATAACATCTCAACATTCACAAATATACATTTCTGACATTCAAAACAAAACAAAAACAAATCAGTGACCAATATAGCCACCTTTCTTTGCAAGGACACTCAAAAGCCTGCCATCCATGGATTCTGTCAGTGTTTTGATCTGTTCACCATCAACATTGCGTGCAGCAGCAACCACAGCCTCCCAGACACTGTTCAGAGAGGTGTACTGTTTTCCCTCCTTGTAAATCTCACATTTGATGATGGACCACAGGTTCTCAATGGGGTTCAGATCAGGTGAACAAGGAGGCCATGTCATTAGATTTTCTTCTTTTATACCCTTTCTTGCCAGCCACGCTGTGGAGTACTTGGACGCGTGTGATGGAGCATTGTCCTGCATGAAAATCATGTTTTTCTTGAAGGATGCAGACTTCTTCCTGTACCACTGCTTGAAGAAGGTGTCTTCCAGGAACTGGCAGTAGGACTGGGAGTTGAGCTTGACTCCATCCTCAACCCGAAAAGGCCCCACAAGCTCATCTTTGATGATACCAGCCCAAACCAGTACTCCACCTCCACCTTGCTGGCGCCTGAGTCGGACTGGAGCTCTCTGCCCTTTACCAATCCAGCCACGGGCCCATCCATCTGGCCCATCAAGACTCACTCTCATTTCATCAGTCCATAAAACCTTAGAAAAATCAGTCCTGAGATATTTCTTGGCCCAGTCTTGACGTTTCAGCTTGTGTGTCTTGTTCAGTGGTGGTCGTCTTTCAGCCTTTCTTACCTTGGCCATGTCTCTGAGTATTGCACACCTTGTGCTTTTGGGCACTCCAGTGATGTTGCAGCTCTGAAATATG